CCTCAACAGCAGAAGGACATGGAACTGGTGGAGCAAGTCCAGAGGACACCAAGAAGACGATCAGAGCACTGGAGCATCTTCCCTATGCACCACATGGAAGCCCAAGCTCCATGTGTCACAGACAGGAGAAAAGGATGAAGTAAGAGGACATGGAACTGTTGGAGCAAGGCCAGAGGAGGCCACAAACCCCAAATTCCATGTGCCAAAGAAAGGAGGTGCTGAGCACTCTCTGGAGGAGGATGAGGAGCTTGAGGCCCATGGGTGTCATGTGGCCACAATGACCTGGCAGTGCCCACAGGAGCACCCCTGGCCTGGCCTTGTGCTCCTGGAGCCAGAGCTCGTGGCTGTGCAGGAAGGATGAGCTGAGTGTGCACTCACAGCCCAGAACCAACCAAATCCTGGGCTGTCCCAAGGAGTGTGGCAGCAGCACCAAGGAGGTGATTCTCCACTTCTGCTTTGATCCTACCTGGAGCTCTTCATACAGTTCTGGTGGCCTCAACAGCAGAAGGACATGGAACTGGTAGGGCAAGTTCAGAGGAGGCCACAAAGACGATCAGGGCACTGGAGCACCTTCTCTATGCACCACATGGAAGCCCAAGCTCCATGTGCCAAAGAAAGGAGAAAAGGATGAAGCAGGGAGAGCTCAGATCTGGGCACAGCACTCTGGATCTCCTCCAGAAGCTCCATGTCCCTCTGGAACTGAGGAGCCCAGAATATGGTCCCACCCAAATCCTGCTACCCTCTGCTGCTTCCCACTCTGCCTTTGGCCCCACAACCATGAGGATCTTGTTCCTACAACTTAGAGATGGAAACACAACTGTTTCTAGCCTTAACCCATTCCCTTTCTCATCTGGAAGTTGGTCCTCAAACCCTCTGTGCTCCCAACCTTGTGCCTGTGGTGGTGAGTTTGAGGAATGAAGGGCTGCCAGGATCACCTGGTGTATCCTTGGGATCCCTGATCCACTGGGATCAGGTCCTTGGGATCCCTGATCCATCAGGATCCACTGGTGGATTCTTAGGATCCCTGATCCACTGGGATCAGCTATTGAGTCCTTGCTCCTAGTCCATCAGGATCAGCTGGCAGGTCCTTGGGATCCCTGATCCACCAGGATCATCTGGTGGCTCCCTGATATCCCTGCTCCACTGGGCTCAGCTGGTGAGTCCTTCTTGTTCCTAGTCCTCCAGGATCAGCTGTCCTTGGGATCCCTGGTGGATCCTGTGCTGCTCCATGTTAATCCACATGCAAAGACCTGTGCAAAATAAGCTGAGACAGCTGAGCAGCCTCTTCCGTGTCCCTGCTGCTCTGTCCCTGCCCAACCCAAGCTCTCACGTGGGCCAGGCCAATCCATTTCCAGCTCCTCACCTTAACAGCCTTAATTTCTTTGGCATGTTCATCCAGCGTGGCAGCTCCATGCTCCAAGGCAGCTCAGCTGGGATTCTGCAGCTCCCACAGCCTTTTAGTGCCTTTTGTCTGCCATTCCTTGCTCCAGGGAGACTCCTTGGATTCTCAGAAGTCTTATATAGAGTCAGAGAATCATTGAGCTTGGAGGAGACCTCTGAGATCCCTCTAAGGTCATCAAGTGCAACCATTGACCTGTCACTGCTGGAACCCCTAAACCGTATCTTCCAGCTCCAGATGCCTCTTAAACACCTTCAGGGATGGTGACTCCCCCTCCGAAGGTCCTTTGCTGTGCTCTAGACCAGAGGGATGGATATCAAGACACTCTAGACCACAGAAATGGGTCTAGAGGCACTGGAAGTGAATCCAGGGATGCTTTGAGCCCTCAACCAACACTTGGAAGCTCTTTGGGGAGACAAAATTCCTGCTAAATTGAGCTCCTGATGGTGAACTTTGAGCCACAAACAACCCTGGTTGGCCTCAGCTTGGATCAAAGCCCCAGTAGAAGGAACCAGCTCTTCTCACCTTGCTCCATGCCACATCCAGCTCTTCTGGAAGCAAATCCAAGGTATTTGCACCCCTACAATGTCTAATTTGGATGCAATTCCCTTTTCTGAGTCACTCTCTGCATTCTGCTGCTGCTCATGGGGCATTTTGCTGTCTCCTCATTGCCAATGACTCAGAGGCATGAGAAGAAGTTGCACTGATTGCTCAGAGGCATTTCCAGCTCTCTCCAGGCTCTTCTGTTTCCAAGGATCCTCCTGGCTCTGCATTATTCTTGGCCTCTGTGTTTTTTCCCTCTCATTACCTCATTCCTCCCTCAATTTGGGCTTGAGCAGAACTCCCAGGAAAAATGAGGCTGTTGCAAAGCACTTACTGGGAGGTAAGAAAATCACATTCCCAAGCAACACCAAAAACAAGGAGTAGGGAAGGAATTCTCTGCTCTGCTCTGCCTCATCGGAATGGTTTACTTCTAGAGGTGCTTGAGGGGAAGAGAATGGCCCAAAATGCTAAGCTGGAAGGTGGAAAAGGCTTTGGGAAGAGGAGTTAGAGTGAGAAAAGGGAAGTTAGAGTGGGAAATGGGAAGCACTGGGCAGGGATGTAGCTTAATGCAGAGCATCCGTGTGCCTTCCTCTGCTTCTCCTTCTCAGCATCCTTGGGGAGGGGCAGAAGGAGCCTGGGAGGGGAAAAGGCTTTGGGAAGAGGAGTTGGAGTGGAAAATGGGAAGTTAGAGTGGGAAATGGGAAGCACTGAGCAGGGATATAATGCAGAGCATCCCTTCCCTTTCCTCTGCTTCTCCTTCTCCTCAGCATCCCTGGGGAGGGGCAGAAGGAGCCTGGGAGGGGAAGGGAGTCCCAGGCAGTGCTGCTATCCTGCTCCTCCACTCCAAACAAAGGAACAAAGCTGCTCATTGAGCTTTCATAATGGGAGAGAGGAAATCTGCCCCAGCCAGGACACATCCCTCCCCCGGCAAAAACGCAGCCTGGAAAGGGAAAGGCACAGGGACAGCTCATTGCTCTGGGTCATCCTGGCTATTTTTGGAGCTGTTCCTCAAATTCAGAGGGAAACACACAGAGCTGGAGGTGGGGAAAGCTCCCAGGGGGTATAGAACAAGGCAGGAATCTGCAAGTCTGAGTTGCAGGGATAACAAGGAGCAGCCACAGCCAGTACCAGGAAAACGAGGAGAATCTCTGTGTGCAGGTTGGGAAGAGCTGACTTCTCTCTTTCCACCCAGCCCAGGAGCTTCAAGATTCTA